GCATGCGAGCGGCTGCAATGCATGACAATTCCGGCACAATACCGGCACAATTGCGGATCAGTTGGATGAGTATGAACCCAGCTAAATGTGTGACTGCGCAGGTTTACCATCGTCACAGATTTATTTTGGATATCGGTGTCACTATCGTGGTGCGCCGTGAGGTATCAGTATCTTTTTCTTTTCTATACCAGTCGTATTTACATATTCAGGATAAGGTTTGTTCCCATCGATGCTTGTTCCTCTTGCGCCTAAACATGGTCACACTATAAGGATAACAAGCGACACGGTCGCGCGATGCACGCCTGCCTGCGCGGACGTCTGCAACATATCAGGAAATTAGGCTCGAAGAACGTTGAAGATTCATGAGCCCTACAAGCCGCGATACAAATAAACTATTCCGCCTCGTAGTCCAGATTTCGACTTTAAGCAATCAGTAATTAACCACAATATTGATCTAATGATTGATTAGGAATTTAAAATAGGCCTATTTTGGCTTCACATTTTCGTCTTACGTTGGATAGCAGCTATTGTCTGTAATAAATAAGCTACAAAATTCTATAGTTTCAAAGTAGTGGCAAAAAAAAACAAACTTATTTACCGGTTACCCATCCAATGCTGTGCTTGAGAATGCACATTTAACAATGAGAAAAGCACCTCTGCCTACGCATTTCTGAGCATAAATCTTATTTGGTAAACTCTGTTTAATAAATGAGATGGCGGAGATGTCATGTCAACCTTTTATAATCAGCAGCCAGAGAGCTCTGTCTTCGCTTTTTCCCTCCATCTAGATAAGAAAAAGATGTCTTACATTTGATCAAATAAACGGCAGTCAAGTGCCACGGCTAAGACTTCATTTTGGTGTCCGGCTATGAGTCGGAGAAGTAGAACAAGAAAGATAGGCGTACTTGTGAAAAAAAAGCAAATAAAGCAAAAGGTGAGCTACAAGCAAGACCTACCAAAGAGCTTCATAAACGAATAGTTTTAGGTAGTTTCTTTGTAAAAGTTTGAAACGAATCAATGACAACTATGTAGTTTACGCTGCCAGAAAGCTGTGCTTCATTATTCTCACATTGCACAACATCCAGATTGAAATAATGACGTCCTTTGGAAAACTTTTTTAGCGAGTTTCACTGACGGGAGATAATGCAAAACATCCCGTTTTTATACACATCATTTGAAGAAAAGAAAGTGGTGAAAGGGATTTTATTATTTGAAGTCAGCCTACGTAAAAGCAAGTATATGAAATTTGATACCTAAGCTTCTTTAGCAGGCAAAAATAGTAAAGCGGATAAAAAGGCATCTTGTTTCCTCTTGTCAGCGGATCCTTAGCGAAGCAGAGAGATAGAAAGTCTCCAAGTTTTTACAACCAAATAAAATTATTATACTTTCTCTTCAAGTCGTAGAAAGCCAACCAGACTTCTTGCCAAATTTCTAGTTAGGAATCGATTTAAAACCCGAGGACCTCAAAAGCTCCATGCTACCTATCTTCGCTTTGTACCTTCGTCAACGAAACTGCTGCTGAGTGCCTAACGCAGGAGACTGACTACTGAATAAATCGCCAAAGCACTGCGTGGTTGTTTTGCCATCGAATGTCTTTGGATAGGGGATCATGACCCAGTAGTAAAGCTTGATCAGTTCAGGTGAACTGCACTCAACCCGTCAGTTGTATTTACGTCAGGTGAACTGATGACCGCCCACCTTCCCATGCTATTGACAAGTGAACTGACAGGGCCATCCGTCCACCTGCTGCAGTCAACTGTTGCACAACAGTTCAGTTCAGTTGAACTGATCGCGAACTAATGTTAGAGTAATGCAAATAGTGTGGAAAAGAGGAGACGCAGAGAAGACTCCCACAAGTTACTCCTGAGTAACTCAACTTCAGTCGCTTACCTGTTCGACCAAATTGGCTCGAGTGGTTCCTTTTTCAAGAACACACATGATTATCATGATTGAAAAGCGATCCGCATCCAGATCAATAGCTCACTGCATGCTGGACTGTGGCGCACACCCGGTGCGCGTCAAGAGAGATGCCTTGATGGGAGGTTTACTACAGCCCATTTGTCGCCAATAGGCTTCACCCCCGCCTACAGCTTGTACGAATCTTCAATGCCTGTGATACGTGGGACTGAGTGGATTATAGCAGATTTTTGCATGGAACACCCCATTTCGGCGACATGCAGGCCCCGAAAAGATGTCCCTACTGTTTGATTGTTAATAACTCTCTTGTATTGAAGTCTTTCGAAAAGGTTTAAGCACCTTTTCCCAGAGCTGACTTCAACTTCAATTTACAAAATAAAGGAATCACCGATTGCTCTTCATTGCTGTAGGAGCACGGTGAGAGCTTGCAGCATTGGCGCCACTGTTGAAAAGGCCGTTTGGAAGAAACTTCACAAAAAAATCTTAAAGATTGTGTAACAAGGTTTCCATCATGCTGATTTATTCTGCAATCAGCATGATGGAACCTTGTTACATAATTTGCGTTTTGCGTTTTCTTGAAGCTTTCTGGCCTAATCAGACTTTTGACGAGTAGCAGAAATTGTGGTATATCTGACATAATTTATGAAAAATGCGTTATGATGAATGTGAGTTTTACGTTTGGAATCAGCGACTTTGATTTACCTCGCGTAGGAGCTTTCAGCTCCTGTAGTTCTATTTTAAAGGTGAAATATGAGCCTTATTTACTCAAAACTCTTCTCAAAGTTCCTACCGTAAACCTACAGTGATAAAGAGGAATTTTTGATTCGCATCATATCATCGTAAACCAAAGTTGACAGCTCTACAAAATGCTACCTGAATCTTCTCGAAAGACTCTATCACAAGAGAGTTATTGAGATCAAACAGTAGGCACACTTTTTGGGCATTCTGCATAGTCTGTATTTAATGTTTTTCTTCACCGATTCTTGTACAACACGAAAAGGTATAATAGTATCCGTGAGAGAAAGACCGCAGCTATAGGTTAGCTGGGAAACTTCAATACGCTGAAGAATTAAGAAAGACATTGCAGAATAGAAGACAATATAGTACGCTCTTTTCAAGTTAGCTGTCCTGCTGGCATTCAGCGACGAGGCAGAGGACGTGTTGGTCACTTAGCCGTGTGTAGTGCGTCCGTTTCAAAAAAAAACATTTGCTAGTAGTTAGAAAACACATTGAGCACAGTGGCCGCTCTCCTAAGCGCACTCAAATCGCGCAAAATTCAAGTGCCACATTGGCGCTGCTAGGGTTTTAGTGGCAAGAACGGGGGGCAGAGCTGGCGACACAAACACAGCTCGATGCCATAAGTAAAACTGCGCCAATATTCTAGCGGAGCTTGGCTTTTGCATTGGTTGACGTCATTTGAGGCATGCTGTTCGAAACATTGAGCAACTCGTGAGTTCTAAATCGTTTTGAAAATTCGTTCATATAATCCTTCTCAAATATACGTTCAGCACCGTATCCTCGTAAGGCAGGTTTATGAGTAAAATTATTGTACAGCTTTGCTTTTCTTCTGACTGCTTGTTATCGTTGTTGACAATGAACGGCATCCTGACTTAGGCGTGTACTCGAGAGTATTGGAAAGAGAGTTGCCCCCCCTCAAAACCAGCAGGTCAGAAAACATATATTTCCAAATTCTGTTTATTTTTTTACAGTTATAATTGTGAAACTGTTAGCGATCTGTTAGCGAAGGGACTAATTCAAAGCGTTGTTTCTTCTTCGACCATGAAGTAGAAGATCTAACTTTGTCAGAAAGTACAAAAATGGCAGTTGGCGGGCTGCTTTCTTGCGTTGCCATTTAGTTTCATCCATTTTTCATCCATCTGAAGTATGCATTGCATCTGCCTTTCAAAACGATCTTGTTTTATTACGAAATCATAGGATCATTCCGACTGGTTGGACGATCAGACAAGCAAATAATTTGTTCAAAAGACGGACATAAATGTGATTAAATCTTCCATTACTCAATACTTTTGATAACCATATGGAGTTTTGCTTTAGACGAATACGGTTTATACGACAGTGACCATGATTATGTATTTCAGCGAAAAAAGCAAAACAACAAAAATTTTGTTTTTTTTCCCATTTACAGCTCTTCGGTTGTCAATAATTTACGGAGCGGGTATCGAGGTCAAAACTCAATAGGTTTTTTTTCTTTTAAGAACGACCATACTTTGGGGCTAGTTCGTGTACTGTGTTTCCTAAATCCCCCAGCTTCAGTGGGATCGATTTCGGTCGAAGCAAGGATAACAATTTAAGCTTTGAAAATGTCACAGTTTCATTTTTTAAGCTATTCAAATGCTCAAGTTTCTGACGGCCAGAAGTCTCGATTATCAATGTATTCAATTATATCAAATGTTTGAGTATCAAGCTGCCAATTTCTCACAACATCTCTATGCACTACTTGGTAGTCAAAAAATCGTAATGTTTTGGCTACTGCAAGTAGTCAAAAAACTTCTCTGCAACAAGGTTTGAGAATATGTGAGATGGTTGGAAAGTGCAACTGTTTTGTTTACATTATGGAATAGCAAATGATAATGATTTATAAGATATCTTGAAAAGTATGGTGTTAAGCAACTTCCGCTGTTCACAAATATTTTGATGTTTGATATGCAGCAAAGCTTACGGACCATCTAAACGACATGCTATATTACACTCACAAAACTTTTAAAAATTTATCACTTTTTCAAACGACTAAGGTGAACATTGAAGACAAAAGACAAGTCTAGAATTAATAGAAAGACAATACGAGCTCTTAAAAATGCGCTTTTTTATATCACGAAATTTCTGTAGGGTTTTCTGAACGGATATATTTTTTGATGGTATGAAAAGCTGATCTCTCTCAGATAAACCACACTTATTGCTGCATGACATCATATAGAGATCTAATGAGTATTTCTAATTGTCAGTAAAAGTACCCCAATATTTGCTGTTGTTATAGTTCCAGATGTCTTGTCAAGTTCATAAACGTATATATTTCATCGTACAATGAATCTTTATTGATGATTACATTGCTGTCTAAGCAAGCATTATATATCACTGTTTGGAATATGAAGAAGACCTTGGTCCATAGCAAGCTTATAGAGCACGCTCAGAGGAAAGTGATTAGTTTTTACTTTGAAGCCTTTCTTCTCGCATTCACGAGCCTTTGCGAACGGTTCATCGCTAGGTACATTTACAAGCGTCTTCACAGCTGGTTTGACAAACTTCCACATACTATCACGGATTGGCTGCAACTGTTTGATCTTATCAAGTTGATATCATTTTTCAAGCAGTGAAAGTATAATTGAGCTGCCAAAGGATAATCATGAAAAGTGTGGATTGCGTTTTTAAAGCTTACAACGCCGATGACGTTTAGATAAGTTTCCGACGATATACCATCATGGGGATCTACGTGAACCAATATCACCTTGAATTTCGTCTGCGGAGCCTAAATTATACGAATTCGTCTTTTTTTTTGAAAAAAAAAGAAAGGAAGTTCTTCAAAGACACATGCCAGTTTTCTTTTCAAGGTCTTCTCCGCTATTTCGATGAAGCCAGGAGGAGCGCCGTCGAAAATTGTCACCATTAACTTGTCACAGATTTCAGCTGAACAAGCTATTGCGAGGCCTAACAGCAGCAGACCGTACCGCATCTAGAACTTATATTCTGTATGAAAATAGAGATGTGAAAAGTTCAAGAGGGCGTTATTTAGATGCCAGTCAAGGAAAGCTTTATGGCACTGAGCACCATGCTAGGAAACCCTATTACATCAACAGTAGCCGCTTTATATATCCAACCGTTGTCTGTAAACAGAATAATACGGAACCTATTGAAAATGGTCTGTTAACCAACTATGCTCACTCAGAACTGAGCACTTAGGACCTTTTATTATATACAGGGTGTCCCAAAAGTAAGTACACACTTTCCAATCGTCAATATCTCTCTTCCCAATGGGTCTTCTTTCGCCAGTCAAACACCATTCTGTAGAGGAGGCTTCAACTTAGAGTTGCGGCATTGAACGAATCACTGATCGCTCTTTGTTACTGTAGGATTACGGTAAGAACTTCCAGCAAGTGGAACCACTGTGAAATATGCAATCTGACAGAATTCTTTTCGAAAAATCTGAAAAATTGTGTACTAGGGTATTTGCGTACGCTGATTCCACTACACAACTTCTTATGAGTGTTTTCAAATTTTTTGACGGTGTAATCACATTTCTGACAAATACTGGAAATTCGCTTATTACGGTTTACCTGGATAACTTTGGAAAGAAGCATCATAGTAAAGTGGAAATTTCATATTCGAAATTAGCGGCTTTCATTACCATAGTACAAGAGATTTTGGCTTGTTTGGCTTTGTTTCGAAGCAGAATATGGCTTCCAATGGCCTAAAATCCTTATCGAAGTTTCTACAGTAATCCTACAGTAAGGAAAAGCGATCGGTGATTCGCTCGATATTGAGAATCTAAGTTGAAGCCTCCTCTACAGAATGGTGTTTGAATGGCGAAAAAAGACACAATGAAAAGAGAGATATTAACGATTGAAAAGTGTATACTTACTTTTGGGGCACCCTGTATATATATATATATAAAACACTAATTTGGATACGCATTATATAAGTGCTCAATCCAGGAAAGCAGTTTACATTTCAGACTAATATATATTGTACATGAAAGTAAGCGCCAGTGAGCAATCAAGCTCGTGAATTGGCGGCTGAAGTGATAGGTAAAAATATCAAAGGCAGGGCTCGGCAAAACTGAACACAAAACAAAATACAGAATTTTTGCTCCTTGGGGTTATCCAAAGCGCTGATAAGAAAATCGACCTTGAAGAGCGTGAAGATGGCAAAAACACGCATTTTACGGACCTTTCATCATGATTTTGTGAGTGAAATAGTTTCCGCCAAGGTTGAAGACGCAGGGTTGTGCGGGACCCCTATGGTTATCATTGCGGGGGTAAAGGACTCTATGTCGCCGAAAGAAGGAGGTTCCTGCGCGGGCAATGCAGCAGATACTCAGCCTGTGCTGTATTAGAAGATGTATTTGTCACAAATGTCCGACGGGACCTCCCACTTTCGGCGACATATAGTCCCTACCTTCACTGCGGCAGGCTCCTTTAACGGTGGGAGGAGAATATTCTCAATTCGTGCTAGCGCGACACGTTTGCCAGCAGGGGTTTGTGGGCAAAAATGTTCAAATTTGCCGAGCCACTGCTTTTAAATGTGAAGTGTGACAATGAAAAGTTATGACAATCCGGGCTTCATTTGTTATGAATCTATACAATAGAAGCTTAGTTGATGGTCAACGTTGATGCAGGCGATCAACGACAGATGCTAATTATGCATTTATGTAAAAGAAAATGCTGGGAATACTGTTGACAATTCAGCATGAGGCACATCATTTACATGTATATATTTTACATAACAAATCAAGCAATCAAATTCTCATGCAAAATGGCCGAACCTGTCGATTCTGCAAAAATCAACTAAATAGCACAGTCACCGAACATAAATGCCTCATTTAGTTAGGTGACGGCAGTATAGTACAAAAAGCGTTTAACAATCAGATGGATTTGGTTACACATGGCTTGAACGTATCATAATTCCACCAAAATAGAAAGTATCACCGTCACTCAACTGTCAGCATAGTTCATACGTTCGTTAGCAGTTAACAGTTAAAAGCACATTAACTACTACCGCTGAGTTTTGGTATGCAAATGAACAAAACGTAGTTGATAGCATTTCCATGACTATAATAAAAAGAAATGGATACTTATACTTCAAGTGCGACATCCAGAAAATACCATAATCAGCATTGTTGGGCATAACCAATATATGGTTTGCAAATAACTTACTTTTGAAGGGAAAGACACTTTTCCGATAAGATTCTCCGTGCCGTGCTAGAATTTTCTTTATCATCAGGCTACTACTCAGATAATCGTCGCGAGCAGGCGGCCATACGATTCATGGGCAAGCGGGCACCGGAAAATGATTTGCGGTCCAGTCTGCAGAAATTTGGGAGAATGTTGCCCAAATTTTTGTTTTATGCTTGAAGAGCAGTTGCGATTTTTTCATGGATTAGTTGCGGCGCATGGCCGCGTTTTCGTGGATTTTCCGCGAGAATATACAAAACTATTGAGGGCCGCACGATCCTTTGTGAAGGACCGCACAGCCCGTAGGTACCTTCCGATGGGAGCAGGTATCCCAAACTCAGGTAATCAAATCGTCGATGGCACCTCTGTTACACAGAGTCTCACCTTTGCTCGGCGTACGCCCGAAACTGCGTACAAAGAGTAGTCTTAGCGCCTGCTGAAAGTTTAGCCAGCGCTCACTGAAAAAATTCTTTAACGAGCGCCCTCAGAAGATTCTGTACTGCCTCCCGCTGCCAGAGCACAGAAGTGGCGCTTGCTAAAGGTTTGGCGACGCCCCAAAATTCCGCTGACCAGAAAAGCGCGAGTTTGGGCACCGCTTGCCCCCGGCGATTATCTGAGTAGTCGTGCTTAATTTTTAAACTACTGTATTCATTTGATATAATTCAATTGACTCGTTTTCGATGATACCAAGCCCTTATAAAGTTTTTTCCAGCTCTTGTGACATCTTTCATATCACTTCATGGTTATGCACAATTTACCTTTATGCATCACAAAGAGTTTCACTTATCTCTGACGTCGACATACTAGGAAAATGCCTAAAACTAATACGGGAGACGGTCGAATGGCGCATATTGGTCGGGTATCAATAGCTAAGAGACCACCTAGAAGAGTCTAAATCTACTATGTTTCTTCCGGATCTCACTAGGTTATTCTCCCTCTGTGCTTTCTTGAATACTGACAAAATTTTCGGAGTTTAAAAAGCTTCCTTTGTTAGAGTACGGATCCATTGTGGCAATAGCGACTGACGAAATGCGCTCCTTCCGACATACACCAGACTAATACAATAAGAACAACTGCTAACATGCATAGTCCCGACAGTTAACCATCCCCAGTGCATTCTATTGTTTATATCACTTTCTATATCTTCAAGCGAAAATGCAAAAAATAAAAAGTAGTGACAAAAGATGCAGACTGCAACCTTGCCAAACTTTCATGCAAGTTGCTTCCATAATGAATTTGGCTTCAGAGCTCCACTTCAAGCAAACCTTTACTAGTCACCCTTTACTAGTTACTATCAATACGCTGTTAAGAACAAGCCACTATATTACATATTATCTACTACAAAAGATAAACTATTTTGGCTCGACCATTGCAGCGTGCACCCAAAATTTCGCCTTCCATGTATTTGTTATTCTGGGGCCTTTCTGCCCCTGATTACAGTTGTGATAATAAGATTCTCCAAAACCCCCCAAAAAACCCCGATTCTCGGGGACCCTCTCTTCAGAGGGAGGGCGAGTTTCGAATTGCTCGACCCGTCGGCATGCCTGCGAGGAGCAGCTGCAAGTGCATGACAGCCTGCAGCTGCAACAGCAACTGCAGCGTATGCTGTCGTGGATTCGTCGGAAGAAGGCGGACCGCAAAAAGCAGCTGCAGTTGCAGTTGCAAGAGCAGTCGCAACTGCAACTGCAGCTGCAACATACGCTGTGTGGATTCGTCCGAAGCAGGCGGACCGAAAAGAAAGGGGCGGAGCGAAAAGAGAATCAGGCGGGTTTTCTCCGCTTAGGAGCAACATTGGGAGAATTTACCAACGCAGTTGGTCTTCTTCTGGGCCCTAGATATACATGGTATAGAGAAATGGGTAACTTAGATTTTAGGTTTACGCTACCTTCAAAGTAGCCCGGCGTCCCGTCAAGTGAGAGTGAGGGCTGCCGAGCTTTCGTAAAGATGTAGTAATCTTCCTATCTAAGCGATGACTGAGTCAAAGAAGAAGAAGATAGTCTTTTAGGCCTAAAATTTGCCTCTTAGTAGTCCCGGATGCCGCCCATAGCTAGAACTACAAGGACAGGCAAACTTCAGGCCGCGCCGCCGGTGGCCGATCCGAGCCCGCCGCTACCAAACGCAAATGAAAATACCGTCGAGCATAGGTGCGATAAGGTGAGAATGACTCCTCCTGGGTGAAGGGTGTTTCACTTGATCGTGAAAATGTAAAATGTCGACCAAAGAGGGGGGGGGGAGGGAGAGGGGAGAGATGGTGTTCTCTCATCATTCTCTCTAATCAAGGTTTTATCAATTCTGTTCTCTACCATCATTTACTGTCTTTTTTGTAAAGATTGAAGTAGGATTGGAAATTCTACAAAAACTGTGTGTTTTCGAAAATACCATAGAGTAGAATATGTGTATGCAAGAACATCTGTTTCGGGAATGAAGTAGACTTTATGAGCATTCACTTTTTGAAAGAAAAAATTTATAACTGCTGTAGATGAACGGCAACGTCAACATCAGCAAGAAAATTGTTTTCAGAACCAACTTTTCTTCCACTTTCAGGAATTATATAGTTCGTCTGGGAGTTTGTCTGGAGTCATTTCAAAAAAGTGACTGGCGAAGCTCGTGGGTAGTGATTTCAAAATATTTACGAACTTTTAGATAAAAAGTCACAACTTCTGTAGACGAAGAACACGTCGAGATGATTAACATCGAAGCCGCCTCGTCCTTCGCTTTCAGAAAATATACAGCATGTCAGAGATCCATTCAAAAAGTGCCTGGACGAAGGGTGTGCCTAGTG